GACCCAGCGCTTGAGGATTTCTTTTTTGTCTTCGATAAGAGTCTTGCCGTCCGCACCAAAAAGAGGAGCAGAGACTGATGGGGCTGGGCCGAAGACTACCTTAAGAGAGTCATAAAAGCAACAGATAACATAAAATCAAAGCAATGTTTCCCCGTTGTAAATTTGAACAAAGAAGACACGAACAATAGCTTGTACACTTTATTGTCTGGCATATTTTGTTGTATCTCGTTAACAAGTCTACATCCATCTAACCTTTCGAGGGAATGACTTAAAGAAACGACCATACGACCGGCTCAAAACTGCAGACAGCAAAACGTTCTACGCTGCTTTGCCAATTATCAAGTTTAAAAGTACGCCCTCGGTGAAACAACCAGTGTCGACGTACTCCAGATCAAATTGTATCTACCAGTTTAAATGTAGATGTGAAGCTGCTTATGTGGGCAGAACTGATCGACGCCCGGAGAAACGAGCCACTGAGCACATTCTAGTATGGGTAGGAAAAGCCATGCAAAATAATATTTAAAAAAATCATCCCTTCGAAACAGGAAACCATCTTCTAAAATTTGGACACGTGGTAACTAAGGACAACGCATTTCAAATCCTTCATAAGTCAACCATTGGCAGAACGCTAAGATTTCTTGAANGAACGCCCCAAAGGGACAATCCTGGAAAGAATCTTTCCGGAACTGAAACAGTGAGATACCGGGGTTTGTTTATAAAGGGATGACCTTTTCCCTTTTTTTTAAAGGTGAATATACAGCGCCCTTTGAGATCCTGGGGATGGTCTCACTCCCCCAAAATTTTCTGTGAAAAAATCTTGGGGAGCAGCTTAGTAAAGAACTGGACCACCCGTTTTGAAGACTTCAGTGGAACGGGCATCAAACCGGGCCCCCTTTCCCCTTTGGAGGGAGATGGATAGCTTTTAGGTTTTTTCTGTTGTAGGGGGATTTTGCCAATGAACGGGAAAAGGAATCGGGGAAAAAGGGTTTGATGGCCATTTTTATGAATTTGTCTGGTTTAGTACGAAGTTAAAGTGTTCGCCCCAGCGCTTGAGGATTTCTTTTTTGTCTTCGTTTAGAGTCTTGCCGTCCGCCCCCCAAAAAGAGGAGCAGGGGAACTGAGGGGGGGGGCCGAAGACTACCTTAAGAGGGTCAAAAAAAGCAACAGAAAAACATACAATCAAAGCAATTTTTCCCCCGTTGTAAATTTGAACAAAGAAGACACGAACAAAGTTTGTCCCTTTTTAATTGTCTGGCATTTTTTGTTGTATCCTTTAAACAAGTCTACTTTAATCTAAATTTGGGGGAAGACTTAAAAAAAACACCATACGACCGGCCCAAAACTCCCGGGACGGGCAAAACTTTCTACGCGGGTTTTTGGGCCCAATTATCAATTTTAAAAAAGTACCCCCTCGGTGAAACAACCAGGTCGAGTACTGAAAAAAAAATTTGTTAACCTTTTAAAGTAGATGTGAAGGGCTTATGGGGCCCCAGAACGGTGGGGACCCCGGAAAAACAAAAGCCACGGGAGCCCATTTAGTATGGGAGGAAAAGCCATGCAAAAAAAATTTTTAAAAAAAAATACCCCTTCAAAAAAGGGAAAACCACTTCAAAAAATTTGGACCGGGGTTAAACTAAGGAAAAGCATTTCAAATCCTTCAAAAGCCCAACCTTTGCAAAAACGCTAAGTTTTCTTGAAGCTTCTGAAAATTCGTAATTGCCCCCCCGGAAACCCAGAAAGATAGTTCTAAAAGAGTGTGTTTAAACCTGGTAACACGGGGCACAAAATTTTGAGCGTTGTGAAACTTGACTTCATTTAAAAAAAGGTTTAACTTATTGCTTTTTTTGTAATCGTTATGTATATCCCCCTGGGGAGATACAGCGAAATATGCCAGGCAATCAATTGTGCAATCGATTGTTTGTATCTTCTTTGTTCAAAGATAACAGAAAGATGTAAGTGAAAAAAAAATACTTAGGGGGGGGGGGGGGGGGGGTCCCCCAGGTCCCTTCTATTGGTTTGATGGGGGGGGGGGGGCAGGCCCGCTTTTGGGATCAAGGCACCCTATGTTTGACGCCCTGGGGAAATTACCCAAAAAGTGAAGTGCCTATCGTAGAAAGTATTTTTTAAAAAAATTTGATTGGCGTTAGCCCTTACGGATCTCACGCATGAAAATTCGTTTGTTACTGAGGGGAAAAGTTCATTTCCTGATCGTTTTGTCTGTTTTTGACCAACAGTAAATGTTTCACAGAGTGTTGAGTTGAGTTGATCTATTGTTTCTGACAGGTGACAACGCTCAGATAAACCTACTTGCGTTTACAAGACGACCGGGAAGAGGCGCAGTGGAGTCCTTAGAGCACAGATTGTAACCTCATGATCTTGTAAACACGGCCACACTTACACACAATTATGTATGCAGGTACCCGGGGAAATGTCACCCCCTCCATCTAAAACCCACGGTTGTAAAAAGGACCCCCCGGGGTCCCAATCTGATAATAAAACATGTGTTTTCCTTTATGTTACGAGGGTTGTTCCCTGCTGCAGCTAAAAATGGTTGGTTCTGGTGGCTATGTTGTTGTTATTGAAGCCGTGTTCTTGATGCTGCAGTTTTAATGATGTTAATGCGGGGGGGTTTTTGCATACGTGGTGTTGTGCCACAGTTGTTGCTAGTGTTATTACTGTTAGTATTTTCGGGGGGGGGGGGGGGGTTGATGTTGTTGTGATGATGCTGTTGTTGTTGCTGCTGCCATTACTATGAAAGTTGTTGTTTCTGTTGCTATGGAATATATATAGGTTGCATACATACATAGAAACGACTGTGTATCTTCTACACCTTGATATTCTGTCTGTTGTATGGTGAAGGATACATTTGTGTGTGTGTGCATAGTATCGTGTAACTCTGTATTGTGTCCATTTATATACATTTGTATTTGTGGTTACTATAGGCTCTATGATTTGTCTCACCGATAGTGATAATTTCATAATTCTTACAGAGGTTTCCCTGTCCCTTTTTGTGTTTTCATCTCTCTCTCTCTCTCTCTCTCTCTCTCTCTCTCTCTCTCTCTCTCTCTCTCTCTCTCTCTCTCTCTCTCTCTCTCTCTCTCTCTCTCTCTCTCTCTCTGCAAGCAAGTCAAAGAGAGAAGCTGGCTAAAGAGACTTCCAGGTGTACGGTGAAGAGAGCGAAATTATGCAAGGGTGTGTTCTTCCACCGGTGGGCCTCGGACAATTGCAGGTTGGCATCTACAAATTGCTGCCCTGTCATGTAGGTGCAAGGGTATGTATTTGTTCTCGACTAGGATTGCTGCCCTGTCATGTAGGTGCAAGGATATGTATTTGTTCTCGACTAGGATTGCTGCCCTGTCATGTAGGTGCAAGGGTATCTATTTGTTCTCGACTAGGATTGCTGCCCTGTCATGTAGGTGCAAGGGTATGTATTTGTTCTCGAATAGGATTGCTGCCCTGTCATGTAGGTGCAAGGGTATGTATTTGTTCTCGACTAGGATTGCTGCCCTGTCATGTAGGTGCAAGGGTATGTATTTGTTCTCGACTAGGATTGCTGCCCTGTCATGTAGGTGCAAGGGTATGTATTTGTTCTCGACTAGGATTGCTGCCCTGTCATGTAGGTGCAAGGGTATGTATTTGTTCTCGACTAGGATTGCTGCCCTGTCATGTAGGTGCAAGGGTATGTATTTGTTCTCGACTAGGATTGCAGCCCTGTCATGTAGGTGCAAGGGTATGTATTTGTTCTCGACTAGGATTGCAGCCCTGTCATGTAGGTGCAAGGGTATATATTTTTTCTCGACTAGGATTGCAGCCCTGTCATGTAGGTGCAAGGGTATGTATTTGTTCTCGACTAGGATTGCTGCCCTGTCATGTAGGTGCAAGGATATGTATTTGTTCTCGACTAGGATTGCTGCCCTGTCATGTAGGTGCAAGGGTATCTATTTGTTCTCGACTAGGATTGCTGCCCTGTCATGTAGGTGCAAGGGTATGTATTTGTTCTCGAATAGGATTGCTGCCCTGTCATGTAGGTGCAAGGGTATGTATTTGTTCTCGACTAGGATTGCTGCCCTGTCATGTAGGTGCAAGGGTATGTATTTGTTCTCGATAGGATTGCTGCCCTGTCATGTAGGTGCAAGGGTATGTATTTGTTCTCGACTAGGATTGCTGCCCTGTCATGTAGGTGCAAGGGTATGTATTTGTTCTCGACTAGGATTGCTGCCCTGTCATGTAGGTGCAAGGGTATGTATTTGTTCTCGACTAGGATTGCAGCCCTGTCATGTAGGTGCAAGGGTATGTATTTGTTCTCGACTAGGATTGCAGCCCTGTCATGTAGGTGCAAGGGTATATATTTTTTCTCGACTAGGATTGCAGCCCTGTCATGTAGGTGCAAGGGTATGTATTTGTTCTCGACTAGGATTGCTGCCCTGTCATGTAGGTGCAAGGGTATGTATTTGTTCTCGACTAGGATTGCAGCCCTGTCATGTAGGTGCAAGGGTATGTATTTGTTCTCGACTAGGATTGCAGCCCTGTCATGTAGGTGCAAGGGTATGTATTTGTTCTCGACTAGGATTTCAGCCCTGTCATGTAGGTGCAAGGGTATGTATTTGTTCTCGACTAGGATTGCTGCCCTGTCATGTAGGTGCAAGGGTATGTATTTGTTCTCGACTAGGATTGCTGCCCTGTCATGTAGGTGCAAGGGTATGTATTTGTTCTCGACTAGGATTGCTGCCCTGTCATGTAGGTGCAAGGGTATGTATTTGTTCTCGACTAGGATTGCTGCCCTGTCATGTAGGTGCAAGGGTATGTATTTGTTCTCGACTAGGATTGCTGCCCTGTCATGTAGGTGCAAGGGTATGTATTTGTTCTCGACTAGGATTGCAGCCTGTAGTTTTAACATCTCAAGGATGAAAATCAGACTGGTACCAATCCCAGAAACCCCGTTCAGCAGCATAAATCAGTTATGTAAGGGCACACGACAGTTATGTAAGGGCACATGACAGTTATGTAAGGGCACATGACAGTATGTGAGGGCACATGACAGGTATGTGAGGGCACACGACAGTTATGTAAGGGAACATGACAGTTATGTAAGGGCACATGACAGTTATGTAAGGGCACACGACAGTTATGTAAGGGAACATGACAGTTATGTAAGGGAACATGACAGTTATGTAAGGGCACACGACAGTTATGTAAGGGCACACGACAGTTATGTAAGGGAACATGACAGTTATGTAAGGGAACATGACAGTTATGTAAGGGCACACGACAGTTATGTAAGGGAACATGACAGTTATGTAAGGGAACATGACAGTTATGTAAGGGCACACGACAGTTATGTAAGGGAACATGACAGTTATGTAAGGGCACACGACAGTTATGTAAGGGAACACGACAGTTATGTAAGGGCACATGACAGTTATGTAAGGGCACACGACAGTTATGTAAGGGAACATGACAGTTATGTAAGGGCACACGACAGTTATGTAAGGGCACACGACAGTTATGTAAGGGAACATGACAGTTATGTAAGGGAACATGACAGTTATGTAAGGGCACATGACAGTTATGTAAGGGCACACGACAGTTATGTAAGGGAACATGACAGTTATGTAAGGGAACATGACAGTTATGTAAGGGCACACGACAGTTATGTAAGGGCACATGACAGGTATGTAAGGGCACACGACAGTTATGTAAGGGCACACGACAGTTATGTAAGGGCACATGACAGGTATGTAAGGGCACACGACAGTTATGTGAGGGCACACGACAGTTATGTAAGGGCACATGACAGGTATGTAAGGGCACATGACAGTTATGTAAGGGCACACGACAGTTATGTAAGGGCACATGATAGTTATGTGAGGGCACACGACAGGTATGTAAGGGCACGACAGTGGGAGGCGGCTTATACCACTGTAAGCAGGAACACTGTGTATTCAGATTCCTTCTTCGTAAGAAAAGTACAAACATTGAGCTGTGCGTCTATTTTAAGGAAAGTACGTGAAATATTCTGTATGGAAGTAATGACTACCCCTGACGATTATACTCACCCTCTTCATTATCCTGCAGAAGTATGTTTTGTTAAATATTAAAATGGCGACCAAGAAGATCAGCCAGCAAAACTGTTTAACTTTCTTCAGTAGAAGCAAGGAAAATTTTCAAGAGAACAGTGATAATGCTATATTAGATATGCCAAGTACTAGTGCCTCAAGTTTAGAAGAAATGAAACGTTGTTGTTAAAAACAATAAAAATAAAAAAAGGAGACCTTATTAGGCATTTCAACAGGGACATTCTAGAGCTTGGTGTCTCTGTCGCTCCTGACAGCGAACTCTCAACACAGCTTGTGTGTGCAGCACGTCCAGAAAATGTGTCAAATGGGCAATGAAATATTCTAGACATGCTCGCCATTTGCATTTAAAGGATAGAGATTTTATTGATAAACCGCTAGCCTTTTTTCCAAGGTTACATGGCCAAGATGAAAAGTCAGGAAAGTCAAATGCAAGTGACGACGACTAGTGATCAATGGCTGCTTCGAGCTTCTTATTTAGTTGCTCTCTATCTGTTATGTGAAAGTACAATAACTCATGAGCATGGGTAGTAAAATATTTCAGTATTCTAAGTTGAGCCTCAAGCGACCGGCGTGGCGTTGACCACAGTGTATTGCGCATCATTGCTTCTTTGGGAATCCAGATCCGCATCTGTTTACTGATTTAGAAATCGACATCATAGAAGAGCATCTATTTCATTGCACCGGGTTTTATCCCATATGGCTCGGTCTCTCAGCGCGGCACAGAACACGAACTCAGGCACACACAAAACCGGGTATATTCGTAGGTGCTCCGTCTCACGCAGCAAATGTCTTCAAGTGTAGATGCTAACTGTTCCCGTAGCACACTGATTACAAGCTCGTCGTCCTCTTCCTCTAATACGTCGTCCTTGTCCGATTCACACCTAATTTCTTGTTCACACATTCTTACATATGTTATTTCATCTAAACTCTCGTCTTCTATTAGCATTTGTTCATTAATTGTCTTCGGGATGTCTTTGTCTCCAGTGCGAGCATGTGTCTATATCCTAACAGTCTGATAACCACTTGTTTGAAATAGACACATTTCTCTTATCCACATGACGTAACCTTTGCCCTCAAATATATGCAAGAACGATAATAAAGTGAATTTGTCTTGCGTTTTATGGCATTCCATCATCTCTAGCAACCCGCCTTCTCGTCTCTACTTAGTTGTTGCCCCGCCCGTTCACGGATGACTGCCGCGTGCAGTCTGCCGCACTCCGGTTTCAGCCCACCGCCTGACAATGTCAACACAAGGTCAGACCGCTAGGCTAACAGGACCACCGTGTGTATGACAGCAACTTCTACCTCTTCTGTTTTTGCCCTGAAAGGGCGGTTGATGGCAACAACAAGAATAGTTTTCATTTATTCCAGCTCTAAAACATTCACTACACATATTGTGAACATTCTCGTGGCACAACAATTTTGTACAACTCTTGTTTGTCACCCCATCTCGATATTGTAGTAGTTCCAAAGGGTTATCCTGTGTTCTATAGGTGTCATGTGTTGCTTGTTTTGGACGTTTTATGCACATCCACCACAGAATACAGCCACCCCCAACGGGAGCAAAAAAAAAAAAAAACATCAATGATTCCATAGTCCGAAATCGTCTCGCCTTCTGAGCTTCTCCCTGTGGCAATTCTTTCTTGCACGTAGTCGCCTACGACGCCTGAGACCTAATAACAACACATTTGAGAAACAACACTGGTTCACAGAATAGAGAGTTGCGAAAAGAAAGCAGGGTAATTTCGTCTGGGAGACAGTGTGTCGACCTCGTAGAACGAACCCGAGTCACTTTTTGGCACGCTGTGTATAGACAGCGACGGAAGACATCCCACAACACCTCTACAATATAGGACACCCGAAAGAGTTCTGACTATTACCACTGCTTCTGTGTTTTATCCTCCTAATTTTACTATACCTAGTTTATTTCACTACTACTAATGCTGCTACTAATGTCTTCTCTTTCTTCTTCTTCGTCGTCTTCTTCTTTTTCTTCTTCTTCTTCCTCTGCTGCTGCTGCTTCTTTTTTTCTCTTTTTCTTCTTCTTCTTCTTCTCTGGAGAAGAAGAAGAAGAAGAAGAAGCGGAGGAAGAAGAAGTAGAAAAGAAAGAAGATAATAATAATAATAATAATAATAATAATAATAATAATAATCCTGCATTTTGTGTAATGACAGATTCAATGCCGTATTGTATAGTTAGACTACAGGGTATAACACTCGCTTCTGAGGTAAACTAATACTTTGCATTTTCATTTTTTAAATAGAGCACACGAGAATCAGTGGTGCATACATGGTTTTATCTGACAATCTCATCCCCCTTAAATGCCACCATCCCTTCTCTGACAAGGACAGAACAGTCGCTACTTGTAGTGCAATGATGTGGGCCGACAACACCAAGGAAGGCCAGGGTTAAAAGGACAAATGAGGAAACAGATACTATACAACGTGCGGCTAAAGGTCTGTGTGCTGTGCTTTCTTTACACGCTTGTTTTATTTTCTTCAGAAGCCGTGGATTAGTTTGTACATTATTCTAATTTGAAAAATGGCGCTTTAATTTCGTTGATTAGGATTATCAAAAGATGTCAAGTAAGTAGACTGTTATTGCAGTTTTGTCTTTGTGAAAAAAGTGAATTGTTAATCTTAGTTTTAGCTTCATAGCAGACGGGTCACCCCATAATTGCTACGCTCCTACACACGAAATGTTTATTACAGTTCCCTGTGGAAAGATTGATCAACTGCTGTCTCAGCATATGCACTAGCATACACATGTATTAAAAGCATACGGCAGCCATCCGAAGTGCCAACACAAACAGTCCGACATAAGAAATGCAGTTCATCATAGGGAATTGTGAACTGTTTTGTTTCGTGCACAATCAGCTGTCGAGGTAGCTATTCAAATGTTTTACACCTTTTTGTCTGTCCCAGGGTTTCCCCCAAGACCTGGGTTTTTATGTGACGCCTTGGGTTCATATTTTGACATCTTGGTTTTTCTTTTTAAATATAAAATATAAAAGCAGGTAAATGTTTTGTTTCGTAACTATAAAATGTGTGCTTGTTATCATTTTTGGGTTTTTGTTTTTTGTTCTTTGCATATATATTGCTGGTTTTTGTTTTTTGTTTTGTCAGCTTAGTTTGGGTTTTGATGAAAATCCCATTGGCAGCCCTGGGCAGTCTGTCCATTCGACAGTGTTAAATTGTGCTGTGAAGAGACATGGGACTCACAGCACATGGCAATGGCGAGTGTGACTAACAAGACCCGCCAGCGTTAGGAAAAGTCTTCCACAATCAGAGCATGTGATTTCAGGGCCGATGTTGTCATCATTTGTTTTAGTGTGTTTCTTCTCAGACGCTCAGATCTCATCATTTGTTTTAGTGTGTTGCTTCTCAGACGCTCAGATCTCATCATTTACTTTAGTGTGTTTCTTCTCAGACGCTCAGATCTCATCATTTGTTTTAGTGTGTTTCTTCTCAGACGCTCAGATCACATCATTTGTTTTAGTGTGTTTCTTCTCAGACGCTCAGATCTCATCATTTGTTTTAGTGTGTTTCTTCTCAGACGCTCAGATCTCATCATTTGTTTTCGTGTGTTTCTTCTCAGACGCTCAGATCTCATCATTTGTTTTAGTGTGTTTCTTCTCAGACGCTCAGATCACATCATTCGTTTTAGCGTGTTTCTTCTCAGACGCTCAGATCTCATAATTTCTTAAATAATTGCTTCCTTTATTCTTATTTCCTTTCTGATTACCCCCTCCCCACAACACGGTCTATGGCATCTTGTTCTCAAAAAGTCTTCACAGTACCTGTATCATTCATACCCCACTTGCACGCTTCATTATTTTGCCAAAGAAGCCGACCTTGACATATTCTACCCATGTGTAATTCATCGTAGAGGATGTCCTTACTGACTCTGCTATTATCCTCTATTCTTCGGGACCTAGCCACCTGAAACTTCGTAGACTGAGCATTGAGAAAACTGTTGTAATACCTGCTATTTCCAATACCTCAGTGTTTGTGATCTTATCCTGCCACTTAATGCCAGGTATTTATCACAAGCATCTCATTTGAAAGCTATTTGCCATTTCTCCTGGTGCAAATAAGTTGACCAGGTTTCACTGCCATAAAGCAGGTTGCGGAGAACCCAAGCCTGATAGACAAGAGTTTTGTTTTATTCGTGAGCTTTCTGTTCTTTAAAAATGTGTGTTGTTAATCTGCTCAGTTTTGTTGCTGCCTTACCTAAGCTGATGTTGATTTCTTGCTCCAGCGATAGTTTATTTACTGTAGATCATAGATACGTGAAATGGCCAATCGTCTCCAGCTCTTCGCCATCAGTGTAGACTGCAGGTCTATCATTGACACCTGCAGAACATTTCAGCGTTTTAAACAGATTGTGGTAATATTAAAAAAGAACGGGACAGAAACAAATTACCAAACCACAAATCACGCAGAGAGATGACAATGAACATGACAGGCGAGCTTCCACAGAGGAAACAGTGCTGTCTCTAGTGTGAATTTCACTGTTTTTTCTAATTTCTTTTAGCGGCCGGTAAAGTTTGGAATTCCACAGTAGTGTTCTAGTTTAGGGATAGGAAGCTCAAGTCTTATTTAATATCGCAATAATAATAATAATAATAATAATAATAATAATAATAATA